CAAGCTTGCAATCAGTAGAGCCCTTTCACTACTCCTAAAGACTTAGAGAAATGTGACTTAGCTGTGCAGACTAGCAATTGATTAGCTCACACTTAAAAAAAATGCAAACAAAAGCAGACTGATTTCTCCATATTGCATGAGAGAGAAATAAATAAATCTTTATTCTTTACACATGCCTAATGTTCTCCAGCCAGTAACAAACTATCTCAAGAATTATGTAAGCAGAGATGGAAATAATTTCCTAAAGGACCCCAGGTTTTATTCCTAACAAGCCCTGCAAATATGGTTTGGACTGTATCACACGTCCCTTATATCCCAGCCACTACAGGTTGCTTTTAGATTCCAGTACTTGGACTATAATCTGGGAGGCAGTGGGGCTTAGGAGCTAAATGTTTCTACTCTGGAATTAAATAGACCTAAGTTTGGATTTCAGTTTCACCGTTTACCTGCTTTCAGACTTTAGTAATAAACTTAATTTTTCTAAGCCTTGATTTTCCCAACTGTAAAATGGGAGCAATAGGAGTATCTACCTTACGGAACTGTTCTCTGCTTGTGGGTAAAGTAAGGATGAAAAATATGTCAGCCATCACAACATTCAGCTAGTGCACCAAGTGCCTTAGGTTTGTCCCTCTCATCACATCCTTGGTTTAGGGAGAAATGTGAGAGGCAAGAAAGTGAAGCCTAAGGCCATAGGTCCAGGGGTTTGGGTGGTGGCTGAGTGTTGTCAGACACAGGTTTCTTTAAAGGAGGAGAAGAAAGTGTGCTGAATTTCCACTGATTTCAAAGTGACCCTTGTCAGTTTGAAGGTCTTGGCTTCCATAAATCAAGTGCCTCCAGCAGCTTTTCCCTTTTCACCTCTCTAACCCTTCCCAGAGCTTCCTCTCAGGTCGAGACTTGTGGAGTTACAGTGAGGCGGCTGGCCCTGCAGTCAGCCCAGAGTGGGGACTGGGTGTGGCTGAGGCTCCAGATCCAGTGCCCTGGGGCTACATCTGGATAGGCAGTGAAGGTCGACCCAGGACCCAGTGACATTTTTACTATTGAAATCGACTCAAACTTTACTAGCTTCTGGGGAAAGCTTGGGGCTTTGGGGATTTTTGTATTTTCTGGATTGTAAATATTTTATGAGAAGGCAGCCCAGAAAAATCTGGTTAGCTTTCTGCCTTGTACATTGATGTGGGATTGGCCTCATACACTATGTGTCAAAAAAAGAAGTCATTTTGTCTTCTTCCAAAGAATTCACCTTTGATTTTAAAAGCCTATTACTCCTCATACCCTCCATATGCCCCACATTTCTATTTCTCTCCTATAACCAAAAAATTTATCCTCAGGAGTAGTTGCAAAACAAGATTTCAGGTAGTGTGGGTGGAGGAGGGGAGAATGTCACTGTGTGTGTGTCTGTGGTTAAGGTTTTGTCCTTTTAGAAGTGTCTATTTCTCATTGACTGCAGGATCTTCTTTTGTTTGTTATTAAATGGTGAATTTAAAAAGAAGGAAATCACGTAACTCATCATTCTGTCTGCGTTGTGTTGAGCCAAATGCTTCATCAAAACTATCTGATGGGCAGCAACTTCCCCTCAGCGCAATGGGTCAAAACTAGGACAGCACCTTTACATAAGCTTGGAGCTTAAAACAAAAAACAAAACACACAAAAAAATAACGAAACCCCAACAAAACCCCACTACACAGGCCCTTTCTACAGATATTCATTTGGCTGAAGTAAGTCGGGCAGCTGGTAATTTTTAAGTTCTCTAGATGATTATAACGGGCAGCCAGATTGAAGATGGCTGTTCTAGAAGTTTCTCATCTATTGACTAGGGTGTACTCTAGGTCAGGCACACTCTAGGCATTGCGATGAGTAAGATGGACTTGACCTGGTCCTAGTTCTTAAGGGCTGGTGGAGGCAGGCGGAGTATTGCTGAAGAAAACAGACCACTGAAGAGACAAATATTAACAAAGTCATTGTAGATAGTGCTAAATGCCAGGAAGATAATAAAACAGGGTCCTGTGATAGTGACCGAGGGAAGCTACTTTAGATCAGAGTGGTTGGTCGAGTGACGCCTCTCAGAGGAGGTGATATTTGAACCGAGTTGTGACTGATGAGACGAGCCAGCCAAGAGGAGGTCTGGGGGAAGTGCATCCCAGGCTCAAAACCACAAAGGGCACATTAGTGGTTACTTGCAGGCTCTTGGGGGAAAACCCGGAGGCCACCACCACGACCGCCTCTCCAGCAGCCACCAACTTCCGCCCTGGGAGTCCCGGGCTGCTGACGGGGAGGAGGGGGCCCGCCTGGGTGCGCCTCCCCTCGCAGCGCACCGGCCGGGCGGGAAGCCAGGGTGGTCAGGCCCCGGGCTGGCTCAGCTGGACTCCCGGCCGGCCTGCCCCGCTCCCCGCCCTTTTCCTCCCGGGGGCAGCCGCAGAGCAAGGGGCTGATCTCCCGCTTAAGTGAAACTGACTGTAATTATTTTTTATCTCGCAGACGATCTCTCGCACACTGCTCTCCGGAGACAGAAGTATTTGTTTGATGTGTCCACGCTCTCAGACAAAGAAGAGCTGGTGGGCGCGGAGCTGCGGCTCTTTCGCCAGGCGCCCGCAGCGTCCTGGGGGCCGCCCTCCGGGCCGCTCCACGTGCAGCTCTTCCCCTGCCTGTCGTCTCTGCTGCTGGACTCGCGGACCCTGGACCCACAGGGGGCGCCCCGTACCGGCTGGGAAGTCTTCGACGTGTGGCAGGGCCTGCGCCACTTGCCCTGGAAGCAGCTGTGCCTGGAGCTGCGGGCCGCGTGGGACGAGCCCGATGTCGTGGAGGCCGAGGCCCGAAACCTGGGGCCCCAGCAGCCGTCGCCCCCGGACCTGCGGAGTCTGGGCTTCGGCCGGAGGGTGCGGTCCCCCCAGGAGCGCGCCCTGCTCGTGGTGTTCACCAGATCCCAGCGCAAGAACCTGTTCGCTGAAGTGCGCGAACAGCTGGGCTCGGCCGAGGCTGTGGGTCTGGGCACGGGCGCCGAGGGGTCGTGGCCGCAGCCGTCGGGCGCCCCCGACGCCGGGCCCTGGCTGCCTCCACCTGGCCGCCGGCGGCGGCGCACGGCTTTCGCCAGCCGCCACGGTAAGCGGCACGGCAAGAAGTCGAGGCTGCGCTGCAGCAAGAAGCCCCTGCACGTGAACTTCAAGGAGCTGGGCTGGGATGACTGGATTATCGCGCCCCTGGAGTACGAGGCCTACCACTGCGAAGGCGTGTGCGACTTCCCGCTGCGCTCGCACCTGGAGCCCACCAACCACGCCATCATCCAGACGCTGATGAACTCCATGGATCCCGGCTCCACCCCGCCCAGCTGCTGCGTGCCCACCAAATTGACTCCCATTAGCATCCTATACATCGACGCGGGCAATAACGTGGTCTACAAGCAGTACGAGGACATGGTGGTGGAGTCATGCGGCTGCAGGTAGCAGCGGCGCCTTTCCCGCCACCTTGGCCCGTGATCGAAGGGGAGGCCTGACTTCAGAGAAGCGGAGGAGGAGCCGGCCTAGGAGGCAGAGAGTGGGGAGACAGCCTGGGCAGTGAAGCCCAGCAGGAAGGGAGGGAGCTCAGCCTTCCCAGAACCTTCCACCTGCCAGTCCAAAGGGAGATACGGATTTTCACACCTTGCTTGGCCGCCCTGGTAAAACAAGCCAAGGAGGATTTCTTTAATTTTTATCTTTATTGTTGTGGCTTTGGAATTCCTTGTGTGTCCCACAGGTTTTGATAGGAGGTGGTGGGAGGAGAGACACATACCTGTTTCTCAACTGCTCCATGGATTGAAAAAATGATAGTTTAAAAAGAGAAACAGTATGCGAGGAAGAGTCACCTTTGACCACATCTTGGTTTGATTGTTTTCTACCTGTGTAAAGAGGGTGGGGTTTTCTGGCCAGGTCATATCCCATGCCTTGTAACCTCCCAATCAGAAAGCGTTAAAATAGAGGAATTGGCATCAGGGGAATAGGAAAGCCAAGAAAGGCCTTTCCTTTAGAAGATAATTGAGAGAGGTTGGCCCAAGGCCTTTTTCATTTGCTTGTATACCTGGCTCCTCCCTGGCCTCTCACAGTATGGGGAACTGGTAACCTGCATCTCACTCCAGGGGGCTCAGGTCGCTGCTTTTACAGTTGCTTTTTCTGGTGGTATGGATGGAATGACAAGAATGAGTCCAAATGGAACCCCTTGAAGTATAATGAGAAACCACAAGGCCTGCCTCTGACGCCTGATACCAAGGTGTATTATCCCTGGCTGGAAGTAACCCAGGAAAACCCCTTCCTGATATCAGTTTCTAATTGATTTCTTTGAACAGAATTTGCCAAAATTCAGACATCCCCATTTAAGGGGAAGGCAATTTCCTAGTTAAACAAAAAAAGGTAGGAACTATATAGCTAAGATAAGAGGTGCAGAGGGAAAAATGATCCTGAAGTAAAAGGATAATAGGGAGAAGGGGCAGGCCAGGAGCAGGGAAGAGAAGGATGTAAGGGGACACAAGTCCCTGTCTCCAAAGTTTCTTTAAAATCTGTGTTCCCTCCCCTCTCTCTGACATTCCTGAAAGATTACTAGCCAGCAATAGCCCACGGCTCCCCCAAAAGAATCGTTTCAGATTGTAATTACCAGTTAGGCAATGTTTTTAAAACTTAGTAATGAGAAACTGTGAAAAGAGCAAAGTGTTGTTACATTGAGCTTGGGGTGGGAGGTGGGGATGGGGCAGTGAGGAAGGAGGCAGGGGTGAAATTCATCTTCCGGAAGGAAGCGGAGAGCACAGCACAATTGAAATACCCATTTCCAGATTGTCAAAAACATGAACTTTCCTCCAGCCTGCATCAGTATTATTTTCAAACATTGTCCATAAGTAGGCCTTTTGAAGAATTTGCTTCCTTCTCATCTTTGACCATGCAGTGGTTCAAACAAGGGAACTTGTGCCATTAAAAAAGTTTTTGTTTTTCCTAAGTGGTTTTGCTCTCTCTTGATCTAAACCTGTTGCTTGTTTGGTTCAGAGAACTACAATCTGTCAAAGAAAGGGCGAGAATGATAATAAATGCTAATATAAAATGCTAAGTAAAAAAAAAAGACTTGGCCAGGAGAAATAATTTAAAATGCACATTTGCTTTGGATGCACTGTTTTTCTGTTAAGGCTGTATATATTTGTTTATTTAAGGTGACTGAAAGTGCAAGGAGGAAACGGACAGCATGAAATTCATCTTAATGTACAAAACATTATATGCACTCAAATGTTATAATTTCTAATATTTTTAAAGTTTATATTCGAGTTGTACAAAGTTAAGCATTAATCGGATATTTCATTCTTTCTTAATGTTATCATTTTCTTAAATATTATTACAAAATTTTAAGTCTGTCTAATGGAGAGTTTTTTTTTTTTTTTTAAACTGTCTACCTCACTATAATACAAGTATTTACAACACAAAATTACCAGAGAGGTCAATTAATATTCAAAACAATTTTTACAGTATACTTTTCCATGATGATACTCAATCTAATACTGTATTATTAAACTCATTTCCCCCTTAATAACTCAGCCTGGTTTATATGGATCTATTTAGAAAAATTATTTTCTTAAGGAATTATTGTCAGTGCTATTTTGTTCCTCTGTGGGACTGAATGTCCAAAAAGACACCGATTGTTTTAAAAGCTATAATTTAGAGCATTGCATTTTTCTTCATAACTCTTCCGTAACTCTCTTTTCATGAACTTTTCATTCACCATATTAAAGCCCAATTCCTGTCAGCTATTAGAATAGTGTTTATAGGCCTGTACCTCATTTCAGCAACTCAAGAGCCCAAATACGTATTGAATTATTTCTTGATTTCTTTAATGTTGAAAAAAGAAAGCAGTAAATTACCTAAGCTAACCAAAATGTCAGTAATTACTATTTACATTTATGGCTTACTGGAAGCAGAATATATGAAATGTTTTTCTATTTGTTCACTTGCTATAAGTCAGGGAACCCATGTATAGGTGTAATTCTGAGTGCTCATTAAATGTCAGGAATGATGTACATGTATTATCTCATTTAGGCCCCTTAGAAACTCCATGAGGTAGGTATTATTATAATTTTCATTTTATCCATGGGGAAATAAGTGAGGAGTTTAAGCGGCAGGCCCATGGTCACCAGCCAGGGAGTAGTAGTTAAAATTTAAACCTAGTTCTTTCAGACTCTAGAGCCGAAGGATTTAACCACTATACATTTCTGCCCCCAGATCACCTACCTGCTCTCTTATTGGTCACTAAATGTCAGTGTGGGAAATTTGCAATTAGCCACAGTGACTAGGGACAGCCAGCTAGTGGAAGAGGAGCTGCTACAGTGGCACCAGCACTGCCTGTGGTTTTGAAATATGTGAATTGTGACTGCTGGGATATTTACTTGAAGCTGAAAATGGGTAAAGATTGCAAAATTCAGTGAGTTCTTAGCTTGGGCTTGCCTTGAGAAACCCATAGTTCAGGTCATTGATGGGCTTCTGTAGATTCTCTACAGTTTTCTGAAACTGCTTTGGGTGTGGTTTTTGGGTTTTAATTATCAAAATAATGGTCAATTTACAAATAGGTCATGTTTTAATAGACTAGTTGTAAGTGGGCTGTTAAAACTGAGAAACATTTTCCTATGGAAATGATGTTTATCTGAGTTTTCAGTTCCTTTTGCAAAAGCTTTATTTACCCAAATAGAACTTTTTATCAAAGCAATTCTGACTTCTGGATTTTGGGAACAGATAATCACTGGGAAGCCAAAAAAAAAAAAAAAAAAAAAAAAAAAAAAGACTCTTTCCTGGGTGGAAGCTATTTTGAAATGGTTGAGAATTCTTTGCATTTTTCCACCACTCTTTCTATACTGCTTACCCAGTTCCCCCAACTGTCCTAATGACTCCCAGTTCTGCACCTTAATATGTCTTAATATGTTCCTAAACTAGAGGTTTCCTTTTTCTGCACAAATATTTTCATCTCCAAAATTACATTTCTCCCCTCCATCATAAAATTTATTCTTTAACTCTTCTGTTAGGAGAAACATAATTTGACCAAATTACATAAAGATGTAAATAAATATCTCCTGTCTCCTCAACCGTGGAGACATTGCATTTCAAGAAGAAAATCTTGGTTAGTGCAGATTTCTTGTAAGCGATATGAAAAAGTCAGACAATAGAGAAGATTCACCACTCAAACCACACATGATTTTGAGAGTCGTATGTGAGCTAGGCACTGATGATACAAAGATGAATGAAGTCACTTGACAATGTGAATTTTTGGGCGTTCCTTGGGGGACATTTTGTGCGATGAAGAGACTGCTAACTTGTTTTAACATTAATATCCAATATATTAAACCAAAAGATTTAATAACTTAGTTTTTTCCTAAAGCCTTAAGTTTAATGATTTAGGCCCCATAAAGATATTTTTTTGCCCTTATTTTGTTCATTGCTATATTCCGAGCATCCAGAATAGTGACTAACACAGCAGACATTCAATAAATATATTAAATAAATAAATTCACAAATATTATTTTACTTATTAATCTAGTAATTTTAACAAGCACTTTCAAGGGACTCTTTGATTTATGTATCTTCAAGTTGAATAGCCCAACTTCCCTGAATCAACCAATTTTGTTTACAAACCTAGTTAATAAACTTCCTTTAAATGTGTACATTGCTTTTATCAATTTAATTTTAAAGCCCTTCAAATTTTTCTAGCAGGAAACACCTTCTGATATACTTAAACCACTCCAAGTAGAACTAATAAATTAAATTTCTAAATATGATTATGCTTAAGTTCTATTAAGCATTCCAATACTGTTTATACTTTTGACTTAAGATCAAGAATCTAAAATTAATTTCTCACTTATTTAAATTGATTCCAGAAGGCTAACCTTTTATATACCTTAATAAACTACATTTTCTTTAAACTTGCAAACATTTTAAGTACCAAAAATGTACAGACTGTCTGAATGATTAAAAAAACTATTTTTGAACATGATACAAAAGTATTCATCATTTAGATTTGATTTACTTACTTTTTGTACTCTATTCCACAATTTTTTTTGGGTTAAAAACTCAAATCCACTACTGAAAAATTAGCGTCACCGGAAAGATAGGGAGAACATTTCAGCAGACTATGGCTGCAAATCTACAAGAGGCTTTGGCCCAGAAAGGAGATGGACTCTCTCTGGAGTATTGACCAACATTCCAACTACCCTTAACAGTCAGTGTAACAACAGGAATCCCAAATCCTTATCTTTTATGAGTTGGTCTCTCCTGAGTTCAAGATAGACCATTAACCAATTTTTCCTTCTGATTTAAGTAAATTGAATTCCACACTCCCCATTCAGATTGTAGCCAACCTTCACTGAATAATTAGATTTCACATTTATTTAATGATCTTAAGAATTTTTTTCTTTTCACCATTGGCTTTAAAATTACTGCCACTTTATTGG